GCCCAGGAAGACGAGGCCGCACTTACGAAACCTTAGGTGTTTGGAGGAGGGCCTTCTGATTTATCACTGCTGCCTCTATACCTAGACCATGTTGTCATACATATTTGGGACAAAGAGGTAAATATTATATTTACCTATTAAATTTGGTAGTGTTTATTTTATTATTGAGTTTTGTTTGGTTGAATCAATTTTGTTAAACCATGTATGCAGGCCGCTAAAGATCATTAATCATGTGCGAAAGATCACTCGCCTAGTAGCTCCTCTTAAGCCATGGTTTCAGGAACTCTTGCTACTTTCAGGGTTGAAAGATTTGAACCTCTATGGATATACTATCGTTAATCATGGTATGATTAACGCTTTTGTTGATAGATGACATCATGAGACATCATTGTTCCATCTACCACATGGTGAGATGATGATCACACTGGACAATGTCGTGTGTCTGTGTATCTTCCGATAAGATGGAGGTTTTTAGACTATGAGAGGATAGACAAAGAGGAGGCACTGGATTTGTTGGTAGAGTACTTAAGAGTTACCCTAGAGAGTACTATGGAGGATATGGACGTCACCCGTGGTGCTCATGTTAGATTTAGTTATTTGTAAAGGGTGTTCACAGAAGAGGTACTGTATGCACAATAGGCTGATAGTGATCCCGAGCATATAACCCAATATAAATCATGTGCTATGAGAGCATACCTGTTGTATCTGGTTGACACTCGCCATTTTTATGGACATTAGTGTGACTTACTCTGATGTCGTGTACCTGCTGCACTTTGAAAATTTTTAGCGGATCCATGAGGGGAACTAGGGGAGGGGGTGCTTGTTTGGTGTACTTGTACCATACGTTATCTGAAGGCTGTAAGTGGAAGAAGAAGTAGATGACCGGTAGCATCATACTCCTGACGGTAACATTTCTTGGTCTTATATTATATGTGTGCCATTTTATAAGTTATTTTAATATCGTTACTAACTAATGATTATTGTTTTTTCAGGTCTGGATCCTATAACACTTCCCTTGCATATTCGGTTGGTCACTTAATATTGCATATAATAAATAAAAGTCGCGTGCCGTTGTATTCGACCCGCTCCGAGGGAACCATGCGGCAGAGTCGTTCTAGGTGTATATTAATCGACGGGTATTTGATGATATACTTTTCCAGGAATACGTCGGCCATTGTGTGACGATTCCATTTGAAGGAATTGTGTCATACTCATGATGGTTGGCTTGCATGTCGCGCAAGACGGCTGCATATCTGCCTGAGTACGTCATGTGTCAGTTCGGGGTACATGCAATACATTTCCCAAGATTCTACTGTGTTTGCTCCTCCCCTGGTGAAACACATAGATATGTATGCCTTATTTGATGATTATGAAAATCATCTGGCGCCAGATGAGCTCCGGAGTATCTTAGCACCAGACCAATGTAGCTACGTGGACGATTACATCTTTTAGTTCTTCAAGGTGTCCCATTCATATTTGGTACACGATTCTATAGGAGGAGCATGTTAGGGCCGACCATGCTCATGATGTGTTGCATAAGTATCAATTCATATCGTGTAGATTGGATATACAAGTATTGATGGTGGAATTTTTCCTGATGACTCTGAGGTTATAGGTGTCATAGATGCCATCATGACAGAGGCTCGGGAGGCTCTGCAGTACATGAGACAACGGAGAAAACGTCGGAAGGGTCACGGGCCGACTCAGAGTTCGCCATATGTAGTAGTCTTCATATTTGTATATCTTGTATTGTATGTTGGTTTGGATAATATTTTGTTTACCGACTTTGTATTGTATTTGGATAATATTTTGGTTTGCGACTTTATCGACTTTGAATTTTATATATATATATATATATATATATATATATATATATATATATAATATATATATATATATATATATATATATATTATATATATATATATATATATATATATATATATTGGTAATGCTAATACACTCATGTAGGTGTGCATTTACATGATACACCTTTAGTGTATTTTTGAGTGGGGTCTATCACATTATGTTTTTCTTATTTTTTTTCTACAGATTTCTCTCATTTAAGGGGGTTTTAAAACGTCCGCTATTTGTTTGTTATTACTATTTTTTAACAATTTAACGGGGTTATGTTAGCGGAGGTTTTTTAATAGTGACAATACGTTAAATTTTGAAATAGTGGGGGAGTTAAAAACCTCCTAAACTTGTAGTAGGTATATATATATATATATATATATATATAATATATTATATATATATATCATATATATATATATATATATATATATATATATATATATATATATATATATATATATATAATATATATATATATATTTATTTTGTAGTTTCCAACACTTGAAACAAGGAAAATTATTTTTTACTATTGTTTGCATATATTTCGAAAATATATTTTCGATTCCTTTTCCATAAATGCATCTTCGAGATTAACTGAAGTTTAACAAAAAAAGATGCGTCCTAGAAACAATTTCGAGAATGCAAGCACAATTGATTTTTTATAGGTTTTTTTCAATGACATTGAGTGACATAAGAAATCTTCTAAAAGTAAAGGAAAACGTGAAAGAGATGAGTGGGTTGAAAGAAGAGGGATTAAAGATTATGTGTAAAAAATATCCGCATATTCTTTATTTATTTTTAACCTATCTAATCCCTTCATTATTTTTTAAGTAAATCTTATTTATACATATAAGTGATTCACTTGTGAACCACTTATGTTTTATTTGGATTGACGATAAACATAATTGATTATAGCAGAATTGAGTTTGATATAATTGATTTTAACGTAATTAAGTTTAATAAAATATATATATATATATATATATATATATATATATATATATATATATATATAATATATATATATATATATATATATATATATATATATATATATATATATATATATAATATATATATACTATATATATATATAATATATATATATATATATATATATATATTATATATATATATATATATATATATATATATATAAAAGTTGAACAATAAATATCAATGTGAAAATCATTCAAAATCAATTCTAAAGACAAAAACTATCGATTCTAACTTTAAGTAGAATTAATCCTATAAAATATAATTAATTCTAATTTTGAAAAACCAAATACATCAAAATCACCAAAAAAAAAAAAAAAACCATTGATTATAGTGTTCCAAAAAAATACAACAGATAAACTTAATTGATGATTCATTGTAGACACCACCCTATTATGAAGTATAATTAAATTAAAAATAAAAAGCAAGCAATTAAAGTTATAAATAAATTGATCTAGAGACAGTAAAATGGATAACGCCACGTCAAAAAGCATGAAGAGATAATAAAATAAAAAAAACTTGAGATTGGGCTGACCGGAATATTCGGAACGGACGGACTACATGAGAAGGCAGTAGATGATTTCCCAAAAACTATATATACCAATCTCTCAATCTCTTCATTTTGCCCTAAAACACTTTCAACAGCCGCAACAACAACCATGTCTCTCTTCTCTACCAAACACTCTTCACTTCTTCTCTATTCCTCGTCGCGTTGAAAGGGTTTAGGTTTTCTCTTCTATGCCCTCTTCTTTTCAATTAATTCAATTTCACTTCCAACGGTAGCCGAAATTCATGGGATCCGAGGGTTTTGGCAGACCCGCACATGATAATTCCTTCCAAAATGGTTTGTTACTCGTTTTCGTTTTCTCGATTTCATTTCATTTCGATGTTTTTAACCCTTGTTTTTTTTATATGTACTTTAATTTCTGTCATGTTCTGTTGGAATTTATGAAAAAGAAACAATTTTGTATGTTTTTTGAATTAATGTGAATTTTAAGATTGGGTAAAGTAAAGCTAGTTTATGTGATAATTGTCTCTTTTTTTTTTAATTATATGTAATTTATTATTGGTTATTCTGATGTTTATGAGTTGGGTGTTCATAATTTGGGTACCTTGGTGACTGAAAATGAACCTATTCATGAGTGCTCTAATTGTGGTTGAGATAATTTTGATATCTTTGGGTTAGATTTAAGGAAAGGCTGAACTTGGTCTTGCATAAGGGCACATCTAGTTGATCCTATGCTGGTTAATGAAGAGCATGGTTTTAAGATGCTGATGTGGTCCTTGAAGAAACTGAGCGAAGTTGTTTTGACCAAAGTTGTCTGATTGAGTTTTGGGGAAAATATTTGAAGAAACCTGAGCTCTGAAGCTTTTGATGCGGTCTCTAATGTGGAAAGACGCATTCAATCACACCACAATTGTGGTTCAATTCGATTGTGGAGATTACCGCATCAACAATATTATGGCCGCAATTGTGATTGTGGACCTCAATTTAAAACCATGATGAAGAGTCTATAATATATATTTAGCACCGAACAAATGTTAGTGTTACTACTCAACACTGACACATGCAGTTACATTCATTTATTCAATTTTGTTACATTATTATCAGTGTTTAAGTGTAAGTGTCATTGTCATGTTTGGTGTCTCTGTTGGTGCTTCATATTATAATATGCTATGTTTGCTATGTTTATTTGTTAGATAAATGTTGGGTGCTGTGATAAATCTTCCTAGAGTTCTTGGTTAGTGGTGGAGATTCTTACTTTTTGAAACAGTTGTTACTTTAACTGTTGTGACTTTCCTTCCAGTGCTACTTGATGAATCTGTTGGGTGAATGCTACATGCAGTTATTTGTTTCATGTAGGTCGCAATGGCTGAATTATCTATTTTAGGATGTTTAGCCTATCATGCTGGTCTTCTTAACTTTTGATATGCTCGTCGTCTCTTTTTCTTTTGAATTGACTATTGCATGACCTTATGCTAGATGTTGCAACTATGAAAAATTCTGCCGAGTTTTCCTCCTGTAATGAATTTCTAAAGACTCAACCATGTAAGAGTTCCAATCAGCTTCCCATATCAAGTGCGAAGATTTGGTAAAAAATAAGCTCAGCGATAATGGCAAAAATTGTGCTCTAATTACTTCCACAATGGAAGGTGTACCGTTACAACGTAAATCATCAAAATCTAATAGGAGTAACGGTTCAAGTTCAAAGAGGCCACGGATGTCCCAATCAGAAGATTATACAAGCCTTTATGGAACTGAAGAGTCAAAGGACAGTTTTGACAAGCTTGTATCACATAATCTTAAGTGTACTTCTCCAGGTATTATCTTCCTCTAACAAACAACCGATGGATTTCTGTCTACATGCTCTTAACTTGTTTTCCATTGATTTTCTTTGGTACAGAGAAAAGTCCATTGCCAAAGCAAAAGGGAAGTAATAGCAAACGTGGTGATAAGAAGAACTTTAAAGTGCCTTCTTCAAAGGCTAAATTCGAGTCATCCTCTATGAAAATGGGTACATCAATCTTCAGTTCTTCTAATGGAGGAAACAACTTGTTTGGTATGTAAATGTAACTATCATGACATCATTAACCTACCATTCCAAGTAACAAATATACTCTTTTGTTCTATTGATACTTTATTAGAGTTTAAAGCTGGTGCTATCTATTTGCTAGGTTTGTATGGTCTGAAACACGATTTTCATGATGTCACAAATCTCATGGATGAACCTCCGTTGGATGAGCTTCTTAAGGGCACATTTGAATGTCCTATTATAAGCAAAGATAAGGGGAAGAAAGTATCAAATAACAATGAAAGTTTTTTGAGTTCAGTTAGAAAGGCTTGCTCTATCATTCAGTGCCCGAAACCTGTTCAGTCTCAAAACATGGAGATGGATTACTCCCCCAACAAGAAAATGTCCACTTCTCAATTTAGTTCAATTTGTGCAGTAGAAAACGATTTAAATGAGGATAAAGAGCAGTCTTGCTCAACAGATATGTCTTCATGTCAGAAGGTCAGTATAAAATGGTTTCGAGCTTACATTCAGTTTGTGTTATGATAAAACAAAATTTGAATTTAGTGCACAGCTCATGAAGGCTGCACCGTCGTATTTGACTTCTTTGATTGCTAAAAGGAGCTTACTGCATGTGCTTGGTCATTTATGCTTAAAATAATATTCGTCTACTGATGATTTATGTGTATGTAATGTTAATGTTAATGTGATTTTGTACTTACTAGCGCTTGACATCCAGGATTCTTGTAGCAAAACAGATTGTAAAGCTAGTCCGCTTGACTTTCCATTATGTCAACCTAAGGATGTATTAGAACAGATTGCACTACACCCGTTCCGAGATTTTGAGTCTTTGCTGATTGATGTCTCCAAACTTGCGATTAGTACAAAGAATAGTAATGATCTACGTTCAGGCAAGCAGGTATCTCGGCGACCAAGCTTGCATCCTTCCCATGGTCACATGCTTTTTGGTGGCAATTGTAGAACTAATTCTGACACAGCTAAGTTATCAACAAGTAGAAGTACGTGCCGAGGTAAATGGACAAGGATAGGTCTTATTGCTAGCTCTACAGATATCGATCGCAGTTCTTTCACAGACCTCAATTCATTCAGTTATGATCAGAGCCTTGTTCCTTCATCTGGAAATTCAGACAGCAAACTTATTCAATCTTTTTTTGCTAATCTTCCTTTCCGCCGGTTGGATTCTTCATCATCTGTATCATGTTCTAAAGATTTTCAGGTTAATACAGGTAAAAAAATGTCATGCCACCTAATCTCTATTTTTCTTTGGGTGAACCTCTTTCCATCCCCAACTTTAGCGCATGTAATCATAATTGGTCCCTGTACTACAGAATCATTACTAAAAGGAGTTGATCTATTTTCTGTCAATAATATTAGTCCATAGCCGATGACTATGTAGTCCCACAGAAACGTAGACTGAGAATCGAAGTTTCCGACAAAAACATAAACCGAAAACTCCTATTCATGTTTCTATAGTGTAGGGACTAATATATATGATGACACTTGTCAATGTTGAGAACGAAAATGGAGGTTCACTAATTTCCTTGTCCCTCTCCCATCTCCCTTCACTTTCTCCTTTTGATGGAATAATCTAACTAATCTCTATCCTGAAACTGCAGAATTTGGAGGCCAAGTTGAAACTAAAGAAGATGGTAAGATCTTATTGAGTAAAACACATCCTTTGCAAGTGATCACTTGTATGAATATTTCTTTACATGGCATTTTCTTTTACCAAAATAACATTTTTGTTTGCAACAGATGATCGTTGCCCGGCAGTATTAGTTGCTGCACAAACTCTCTGTGAAATTAAAACTCGCTCAGTTAGGCAGAGCTCAGATGGAATTTTAAGATGGCAAAGGAAACCTTCACATAAGGCCATGAAAACTTGCTACTTAAAGTCGAACGAGAAACATGAAGACGTGCCTTCATCGACAGTTTCACTGGTTGGATCCAACATGGTGGCCAGAAAAGTGGATGGATCCAACATGGTGGCCAGAAAAGTGGAGCAGATAACGCCCACGGCCTCAAAGAAGCCAAGGCTTTCAACAGTCGATAATAAGAATAGCGGTCACTCCAATAATGTAAAGAAAGGAGGCGGTTGTCCGTGGCCAACTTCAAAATCAGGTAGATCGTCATTACCCAGTAAACTAGTTAGGAACTCGATTGTAGAAAACAAACGTACAAATACAAATTCAAGCACTGTAAAGCAGCAACAACATTGTATGATGATGCCTCCACCTGCAAGGGATTTGGATAAGGCTTATGATGGTCAACAACATCATCAAGGTGGAAAATTTGTATTGATGGATTGGAAAAGGGGAAGAGACAAGTCAGATTGATCGATCATTATCGACTGTTGACTCTCATCAGCAGCTAGAAGCTGTAGTTGTAGTGTGATTAGCAAATGTTAGGCTCTGTATATATATTTATTATTATGTTGTGACTGCAATGAATTTGTTGCCAGTGTTTTGTCCAAGGGCAAAACATGATTCAGATGTTGTAACATTTAAACACAGGTGTATAAAACAGCAGAATTCATTGCTTTCTCTGTGCTATTTCATATGGAGTCATAATAAGTTTTCATTGAATATGGAAATCAAAATCGAAAATGTAATATTATTACCGCTCTATGATGTATGTTACGAAAACATTTGATCTAGTACTAAAACAAGTGCCATAGCAAAACTAGGATCAAACCCTGGATTAACAACTAACTGAAAAATCTCAACCCCAAAAGACACATCCTTGGTATTGGTCTCTTTTCTCTTGATTTCAGCTACGGCTTTCTTGCACTCATCCAACACTTTACACGTTCTTTGTGTATATGAACCTTCAACCGTAAATGCTGCACGACGTTTATCCGAACCAGAAGCTACACGATACACATATGCTTGAACATTAAAATTGCCGTTTAGAATATTTACACTCTTGGTTACACTACAAACTGGACTCTTCCTTATCCTGCATGTTCTTGTTCTCCTCGTACCATGGTTCCCTAAGTCTCCTTCGAACACACACCAATTGTCTATCAAACCAAGTTTCTGCAACCAAAGCATAACTCATAAGTTTTTAAATGTCATGAAATTATATTAACTGCAACCAAAGCATAACACATAAGTTTTTAAATGTCATATTTCGAACACACACCAATTGTCTACCAAACCAAGTTTCTGCAACCAAAGCATAACTCATAAGTTTTTAAATGTCATGAAATTATATTAACTGCAACCAAAGCATAACACATAAGTTTTTAAATGTCATGAAATTATATTAACTAAAATGAAGTGGAAGTGATGCTATACCCTGTGACGACGTAGAGTGAGAAGAGAATTTCCAGAAGCATCCATAAGAACAAGTTCATGGGGGTGTAAGGAGTAACTATCAACACGATATACAAGGTTACCGTATGAATCGATAACTGTGAAACCTTTACAATACATTAGAAGCGATTTTTTCCAAACTGTGAGTGAAGATATACACAAACCTCCTTCTTTTGATATCCTAGGATACATGTTTCTCTCCAAAACATGTTCATCTTGGTTTTCTTCATGAACCACTGCTCTTGACAGAAACTTAAACCTAGGAAACACCTTCATGAATGTTTTCCCTCTATGTTTCCTTCGCTTCAATCTTTGTCCTATGAGACAACAATCTTAGTATTTAATACTATGTTTGTTTGTAGAAGCAACAACGTATGCGCGTGTTCACACTTATCGTGTGTTTTTTTCTAAGGTTAAAAAAACAATGATGATGCAAGTTGGTCCACAACAATGCTTATAGTGTGTGGACTAGCAGTTAAGCACACGGGAATTCGGGAAGAAAGAATAGACACGGAATGTTGAAGTGTGTCTTTATCACAAGTTTTACTGTCTACTAGGACCACATGCATTGTGCTTCTTCACAAGTTGTAATTTAGAAACATAAAGGAGCTTTAACAACAATGTGAGTTACGTATGAAGACGGCTAAAAGGCTAATGTGTAGTAGATATACAAATTATTCTAGGTGTTTTGTGACAAAAATATTCTAAGTCATCTTCATTTGATGATTAGGTTTATTTTTTATTGGGTTTGATGTGAAAGGAATTCATAAATTACTAATTCGTACTAGTAATAATGAAGGGTTCAATTGTGAAAGTTACTCAAAGCCGTTCATGAAAATTCAAGAAATTATTAGATATAAGAGGATGGTTAACAACACTTTTGAGTACTCTTTTAAATATTAATTAGTAAGAGATCTGTGCCGCACATGTATTCGTATATTTGATGTAATATATTTTGAATGATATGAATATTATACGTAAGTGTCACTCAATTTTTATTTATTAATAATTATGTAAATTAATTATATACGAAAAAAATTAATTATACAAATGTAAAATTTTAAATATAAATGCAAAATTTGAAATGATTTATTTATTTGTAAAATGAACAATATTCATATAGATTTAATTATATTAAATAATCACTCAAAAATAAGAAGAAAAAAAACATAAAATAGAGAAAAAATAATATTTAAAAATAAATATTTTATTTCTAAAAAAATTGTTAATTTAAATAAAATAGATTATTTTGATAGTGACCTGAAAAATAAAAAGTTAATTATCTGTACAGAGTTAAAATATAAATGGCAATAATAATTTTAATAAAATTAAGTTTTCCAAATATTTAAAAATATCTACTATAAGAGATATGTTTATTTTAAAATAAATAGTAAATTGTCAATGGAAAAGAAAATAATTAAAAATAATTTTGATAAAAAAATATTATTTTATTAATTATATATGTTAAAGCGGTAAAATGGTAAACAAAAGTAAGTATTTTTATAAGGATGATATATGTTATATCGTATCGTCTTCACATGAATTAGTGAAAGGGACAAACTACCGTTTAACAATTTCAATCCATTTAAGTTTGAAAAAAGGTTTGCGGAAAAATACAGAAAAAGTAAATAAAACAATAGAGAAACCGATAAACAATCATATGTAGTCTAAGAGAATTTATTTTGGAATCATATTTCACTTTACCCTTCAAATACTTAAGCTTGCTGATCAATTGCATGGAACCTAAATCACTCGTCAATACCATCACGTATCGCCCACATTAAGACTATCTCTAACACAAAATGAGACAACACATGTATTGTTCTCAGAGGCAATTTCACGCGCAACTCAAATAATTCGGATGCATTTCATAACCGATACCCACATGAATATTAAGCCTAAATCTATGTCTAGAGTCTAAGACCTAATAAATATTCATTCAAGAAAGAGTTTCAGAAAGCATATGTCTACGACAAACCAAAACTCTGCGATAAAGCAAAAATCAAGAACAAACATCAGTATTAATTTGTAAAAGAGATTTCATACACTCCCATGATCAACAAATATACATGCATAAAGAGTAAATATACATAAAAAATTCACCATTGAAATGATACATAGGGAAGAAGGAGATGAATAGGAATATTCTTGCGGTGTCAATACGATCTGAGATAACCTATAACCAATCGACAAGATGCACCACCCAATGATGTTGCCTAAACCTCTAAACTAAAAAGAATTGGATCAAAGCTCCTTCAAGAGGGAAATAGATGATAAAAACCCTAAAAAAATCTGTTTTAAGCTATTTATACAAAACTAAAAAACGCATAATGCGCTAATCCCCAAAAACCGGGCTTAGCCCCAAAGCACACTAAGCCCTAAATTCTGCGCTTAGCCCCAAACTCACTGCCTCTGCTCCAGAATCCGCGCTGGGAGCGCGCTAAGCTCTAAATTCCTTGACCTGAAGCCTATTTATTTCTTGATTTTGACCAAAAAAATTTATCCGGAGTCATGCCTTCGACACCTTATTCCTCGATGCTCCAAATACGCAATAATACCTATAAAAAGACACTAAATCTATCAAACGATACATAAATGAATCAAAAACGTAATAATACGTAAAGTATACATATTTACATACAAATCAGGGAATTATTCAAATAATATTAACAAAAGAACTGATAAGTGTCACAAATTATATACACAAAATAACGATATTTTGGCACTTATCAACTCTCTCTAACTTGAACTTGTTTGTCCTCAAATAAGGTCAAACAACTCAAAGAACAAAAGTAACTAACCAAATAAACATGAATCAACAAGTTTTTAAAACGGAAAACAAATATATGGTTCAAACAAAAACACACGCGCAAGTTAATACTTACTACTATACTACAACGACAACATGTAAACAAAATGAATCCTAAGTAAAAAAATTATACTAACCATTCTAAAATAAAAAAAGCTCAATCATGAATCACGCCTAGCAAAAATTCATCGGTATATGAAAAACACACAAAAGTGAGGACTTTTGACACTCATCCAACAATCTTGCAAACAAAAGACTAAATTATGTATTCATCCAAAAACTCATATTGAAAATACAAAGGCAATAATTACAAGGATTTTTCAAGGTTGTAATGTGGCTTAGTTAACAAACAAGGGATAAGTCCTAAAGCTAATCGAAACAAAAATTTGCCTAAACCTAAAGGAGTGATCAACTCACAAAGTTCAAGCAATAAAATCTCAATCAAACTTATTCGTCATCCCAAAGTTCACAAACCAATCACATACATATTAACACAACATTATTCCATACTCTTTTTGTTTTTGTTTTTCAAAACTTTATCTCTTTTTTTATGTATTTTTCTTTTCAATTCTTTTTCACTTTTTATTCTTCTTTTCTTTTCATTTCTTGTTCACAACCGCATAGCAACCAACAACATAAGTGAGTAAACATTGTTCTCCCCAACTTGAACTCAACCAACATTAAAGTGAATACCCCTACTTTCTAAGGTAAGATAAAAATTTAAACCATAAATCATGGTTGAGGGTTCAAGAAAATAAGAATCAACATTCATTCAAAAAGGAAAACCAAACACTCATAGACAAGTATTAAATTTTAAAACAACATGGACATTGACAAAAAGATCAAAGAGGTTACAAATGATCACACACTCACAAGGTAACTTAACTATTTTGTTAGGGTAGTTGTGTAACACCCCATTTCTACCAAATGAATTATATAAAATGAGAGTTTAATAATTTCCAACAACATATGAAATGTTAGACCTTCAACTCAAAACAACGACATTCAATCACTTATAGTTCATATACATAACACATAAAATTCGGATGAACCGATAACAACCTGTTTAGTCTTAAAAATAAAACAACTTTCATTACTATGCAGCAGATTCACAAGATTCAACTGAAAACACCATAACATCTTGTCCAACTCAAAATAACTTTAAGACAACAAGTCTTTAATGAAAATAACTTAAATATTCAGAAACATAATGAAAAACAACAATAAAGAAAACACGCGTTCATCCCCCGAGTGCTATGTATCAGAGCGACAACACCGACTCAGACTAACAAAGGTAACATCTATCCTTCTTGATTACCTGCACGTTACCAACAGAGAGCAACATTCAAACAAAAGGGGTGAGATATGGAACCATATAATTGAGCGTATGATAAATAATATATTAGGTCGAATTATATAAAATCACCATTCACAACTTTCAATCAATACTAATCATCATAAGTCAATAACACAACAACTTAAATATGCAATACAAAATGCGACTCGTTACATTGCACATGCATGTGGTACCATTGGAGCAGAACTCCCAACTTAAAATCTTCCAATTAATAGAGGCGTCAACAAGACATAAGCCTTCAACTTAATTTACCAATCCAGGTCAACTTACCGAGCATCAGCTCCAACTTGATATGCTATGTATGCGACACAATATAAACGTCAAAATGACGACAATAATAGTTACATAGCAACACAACAACAAATCAACATTGGTCATAGGCTTACAACTAATATTTTGTCCATAAATAGAGACAACTCACAAGATACAACATTACCGGTAATTTCACATTTTCAACAAAAACACCACCCAACGAATCAACCAAAGATTACTACAAATAAACCGCGTAATTATTCAGACTATTTTGACTAAAACCGGTTAATTAATTATCGGTAAGAAAGTTCTATTATTTCTACTTTATGCTAAATTTTTTATTACGATTCGGTTAAATTATTACCACACTGCCATCAGGTTGTCCATACTGTTAATATTGTTTTTCTTATAAAAGTTACTAGACTGCTATTCAATATTTCTGCTACGTAAAACCAATCTGTTACTAAAATGATCCTGCTAAATAAAACTTATGCTATTACCATTTTCTGCTATTGAATTATTTTCTGCTACCTGATAATTCATTATTCATGCTAGATATACATGCTACCTTTAATCCCACTATTATTCTAATTATATATGTTACTTTATTTTATGTGCTACATGTACTACTTGATGGTCTATCTAAGCTTAAGTAATTTTGTGGTCACTTACTACTTTGACTAAAACAAATTTCTATACTAATGATAAATCATAATTTAACAAAGATGTATTATTATTTATAATCTCAGAATTACGCAAACAAATAAAAAGTGACTTTTAATAACTTAAAACAATTCTATTGATAATTTTAACAATACTATTGACAACTCTAACACCCTTATTGACAACTCAAATGAC